GCTGCCTCTTGGCCATCTCCTATGTCTTCAGCAATAGGTTGAGGGTAAGTCCCTATTGCTGAAGACATCACACGCTTTGGACAAGGGTCTCAGAGGTGAGATGGGACTGACCTGAAAGTCTCCTCCCTGAGGACCGGCTCTCACAGCACCAGAAGGTGCTATGCAAGCTCCCAAGGGAGAACAGTTGGTAGCCCCCTCCCCCGCAGCTGTAAAGCCTACAAACCACAATGGTGCAGACATCTTGGAGGACCATCCTGCCGACCACACGGGGAAACTGGAGATGTTCATCTTTCCTCACTGGGGCACATGTCTGTGACCTTACACGGTGCCCCAGCTCTAGAGGTAGAGGGGAAGGGAGGAGCACGCTGCATATGCCCCTCCCTGCCTTCTTGCAATGTCCTTTCTCCTGGCCTGGACTTCATCACCAGGCTTTCCCTACAAGGATGTGTGCAGCTGAAGTCGTCAGGAAGATGAAGAATTTGGAAATGGCTCCTGGACACTGATAATCTAATGTGGATGCGCATGCTTTTCCTCCACCTATCCTTGTACTCTCCAATGTTTAGGGGGAAGAAGCAGGAGAAAGAGGAGGAGCACAAGGTGGGAACAAAGTGTGAAGCCCTAGAAAGAACACCGGCAGCACCTCCCCTTCCTAAGATCTTAATCCAGGAAGCTCTAATACTCGCTGGGGGTAAAGAGGAAGAGCTCAGTTTATGTGAGTCCTCTATTAGATGTCACGATGCACCGTGTACAGCATAAGAACTCCACAGCCCCCCTTAACTTTTTAGGCTCCTATGGGTACATATATGGGTGGAATGTGTACTATATATACATATATAGTATACATGTATTGATGGCTGTTACCTGTAAACGAGGAAATTCAAGCGCTGAACGGTGGTCAATAACCTAAGGGAAAAAGTGTCTGAGCTAGATGGAAACCTCTGAGCTAAATGTCCTCACTCTGATTCTGTCTGGCAAGAAGACAAGACTGAAATCCATCACAGTCTCCATATTGTACCCTTCAGTGTCTAAATGGCAATCCTGATAGTACTGGTCTCCTTGATCCAACCTTTCTGTCACCCAAGATGTTACAGTGGCTTCTCAAGGCAGGTCAAGAGTTACTACTTTCTTTTGGTCACAACACATTTCCCCTCTGTGTGGTTATTTCCCCAGATGTATCACCTTCCTTATTCAGCGTAGTTCTACTGTGAAGATAACCCATCCGGGGGCTTGTATTTCCTTCCTTTCTTCTCTTTTCTTTTTTTTTTTTTTTTTGTGTTTTTTGTTTTTTGTTTTTCAAGACAGGGTTTCTCCATATAGTTTTTGTTGCCTGTCCTGGATCTCGCTCTGTAGCCCAGGCTGGCTTTGAACTCACAGAGATCCGTCTGGCTCTGCCTCCCGAGTGCTGGGATTAAAGACATGCGCCACCACTGCCCAGAGTATTTCCTTATCTTCCTTTTCAAACTACTTTGAAAAAGTAGTTATGATGCTCCAAGTCTTTAATGTATACATTAAATGAATTCACATTCATTCATTTTAAAAGCCAGGCATGGTGGTGAATGCTGTACTCTGGGAAGCTGAGGAGCTGAAGCAGGGGTATCACTGTGAGTTCAAAGCTAGCCTGGGCTACATAACAAGAACCAGTTTCAAGGTGTGGAGAAGAAAGGAAAGAAGAAAAAGTGAAGGAAGAAGGGGGTGGGGGGACAGGAGACACAGAACTTACTCAGAAGAGAATCCTCATTGGGCCACACAGTCATCCCAACGCCTCCCCTCTCTCTGTAAGCAGTGATGATTTGGGTGCGAGGTGGCCAGTTCAGAACCTCTGCTTCACTTCTGAGGTAAAAATGTACTCTAAAATTTCATGGTGAAATCCAGTTCCTTACCTCAGGAACCAGCCCTACAAGTCTTGTTTCTGCCTGCATCTCCCCAATGCACCCCTCCATCCACTCCAGTCACACTGACCACAGCCTGGTGCCCCCAGATCCTACAAAGTTTACCGGCAACCTCCCTGTAATTAGAGCCATCGGTTGGGGGCGGCGGGGGTCACATAAAATGTCCCTTTTCTGAACGGAAATGTGCTGATTTTCTGGCATTTAATATGATTTTTAAGATTTTAAAGGAATTAAGCCGGGCATGGTGGTGCATGCCTTTAATCCCAGCACGCTGGAGGCAGAGGCAGGCGGATCTCTGTGAGTTCAAGGCCAGCCTGGTCTACAAAAGGAGTTCTGGGACAGCCAGGGCTGTTACACAGAGAAAATCCTGTCTCGAAGGAGGACTTTTAAAAGATCAAAGCAGCCCGGCAGTGGTGGCCCACGCCTTTAATCCCAGCACTCGGGAGGCAGAGCCGGGTGGATCTCTGTGAGTTCGAGGACAGCCTGGGCTACAGAGTGAGTTCCAGGAAAGGTGCAAAGCTACACAGAGAAACCCTGTCTCGAAGAAAAAACAACAACAACAACAACAAAAAGAATCAAAGCATCTTATTAAAAATTTCCTATGAATGTTGGGTTATTATTTAAGTTAAAATTTCACGTCTTGTAATTTGGTAATTCAAGACTCTAAAATTAGTACTGTAATCCTTATTGTGTTGCTACTGGACAATGCTGTTCTTTTTGGGGTTTTTTTGTTTTTTGTCTTTTCCCAGACAAGGACTCACTTATAAAGCCATGGCTGGCCTGGAACTCACTGAGTATAAACCAGGCTGACCTAGAACTCACAGAGATCTTCCTGCTTCTGCCTGCACAGGCTGAGATTAAAGGCATCCATTACCATGACCCTGCTTTTCTGGCTTGAGTGGTGTGGATTGTTGTTTTGTTTTGAGACTGGGCTTAGGTAGCCCAGGCTTGCCTAGATATCACTAAGTAGCTCAGGATGACCCTGAACTCCCGATCCTCCTCCCTCAACAGACGCACAGCATCACACCCCACTCTCCCTGGCTCTCAACGCTGTTTGTTTATCGATCGTCCAACACCAGCCTGCAAGACAGAGCACTCACATCCCGAAAATTCCCAGGCATTTCAGCCAGAACCTGGAGCACGTACGGACTCTGGACTGGTTTTGGTTTAGCTTTTTTTTTTTCATTTTCGACCTTGCTGTTCGTTATCCGGAGGAGGAAGCCACGTCCCGCCTCCCCCAGCTCTGGGTCTGGGTCCCTCCAGCTCTACGCCCGCTGCTCATCACTGACCCAACGCTCTGGGAGGAAGGGGAGCTGGATACACACTTGACAAAACCTCCTTATCATCCTATTTGCGGGGTGGGTGCGGGGCAGGACGGGTCCCACAACAGCAAAGGAACCGGCTGAGCGCCGGGCTGCCGCGCCCTCTTTCGAGGAAACCCGCGCCGCAGCCTCCCGCGGTGCACTTCTCCCTCCGGCCACACGGCGGCAGGAGAGCGCGCGGCGGCCGTGGTACAGTCCGCCGTCCCCCCCCTCTCTTCCGCGGACGGTGGGCTCTCCCAGGTGTAGAAAAGCATTGTGGGAGCGGCGGGCTTCCTCTCTGCGCTCTCACGTGGCGCGCAGCATGGCGGGCCTGCACGCTGGGGCTCGGTGGCTGGTGATGGCGCGGGAATGTGAAGTGACCGCGGCGGCCTCGGGCCTCCCATCCCTTCCCGGGCAAAGGGGAGACGGCGCGGACTCGGCGGCCGCGTGAGGAGCCCGGCCCGCCGGACCCCGCGGGACATGGGTCGGTGGGAAAGCCAAGCGCCGCCCGTGGTGGAGATCGTCACCGTGTCTGCCCAGGTGCACACTGGGCGAGGACGGAGTGGCCATCGGGGTCAGAAGGTGGGGTTGGTTTCCCCTTTCCAGGCTTTGAGGAGCGGGGAGAGCCGGCCTGTGCATGGAGCCTTTGTGTTGCCCGTTCACCTTTGGTCACTAGTGAATGTGGTGTCAAAAAAGGCATAAAGTAACGCTTTGCAGCCTTTCCTTACCCTGGAGTTCGGTATCTTGGGTGTGGAGGCTGCGTAAGTAACAAAGTCCACCGGAACTTGGGTGTGCGGGTGGACGTGCTGCCCAAGGTCGTCGGGAGGGCGGTTTCCTTTAACTGGTTCGTCCTCGTTTGGCAGGTGGGTGTCTGGAAGCCGAGCGGCACTTCCAGGACGGCACGCGGGAGCGCAAAGGAGCCTTAAGGTTAGGACGACTGCAAAGTTTGATGGGGATTTCCTTCCAAGTCCGAGTGCCACCCGAATCACCAGTGTTAACTGGTTCGTTTGCGTTGTCACTGCTTACCCGAAGTTAGCCCGGAAGGTAACTAACAAAGGACGTAACCTCTGCCCCTTGGCTTACTTTTAGGGGACGTTAGGCTGTTTTTTTCTGAGTACGTAGTATTGAACAGAAATCTTGAATGTACAGTATGGTGGTCTGCGTACTAGCTAGGAAAAAACCTGCCACATCTGTAAGTTCAATGGCTGTGGTTGGGATTTATGTTACAAAATACTTGAGGCAGATGAGTAAAGTTTATCTTTTTTTTTTCTTTTAGGGTGTCCTTGATGATTTGGAAATTTGATCTTCAGAAACATGGATGACTTAAATTTTCTAAGAGGTGTGTCAAGACACTGCATAGATGAATGCATTTTGTAACAAGGCTATGAATAAATATTTAATATGCTGCTTTGAGTCTTGTGTGCTCAATGACATGCTGCCAGAGTGCCTTACTGTGGTTTCCTATGTAACAGCTAAACTGATAACCCTTTGCTTAACAGGAAAGGATAGAAAATACATTGGGGATTCATTAGTTGTAAATTTTATTTAAAACACTTTCCTTGCTGGAGTGGAATATCCTAGATGGAAAGTTTCCTTTGTAAGAGGAATCCAATCAGGAGATCTGACCAAGTCAGGGAGACCTGAGGAAGCATTTGGTGGGGGGTGGGTGCCATTGCAAAGCAAAGTTGGAAAGACAGCATATGCACGCGCCTTGAAGTGTGACGTCAGTGAATCTATTCCCTCTGTTCTGGTGTCAGAGCTCGGAGTGTCAGCAAGAAAGGCTGAATAAGCAGTAAAGAGACCGGACCGCTAAGGCTTGGGTTTTATTAAAGCAAGATCAGGAATAACGGGAGAGGATGGTTCCAGGGGGGTGGGCCAATGAGGTCACAGTGAGGTGAGCTGCAAAGGATGTCCTGTAGAAGCAGACTAGAATTACAGCAGAGAAGGACGAGACAACAAGACTTCAGACACTGGATGGAGGGAACCCTTGGATTTGGCTTGCTTCTGTGTCGGGGAGTAAATAAAGGCCACAGTTGAGTTTAGAAAACACTATCACTGAGCTATCTACCCCAGTTGAGAGGGGTTTTAATGAACACGAGGATGCTGAAGATGTCCTCAGGAACAGCTGGAGGCATTTATGGGGCAAAGTTGAATTACTGGGCTGTAATAAAACTGAATGGCTAGAGGGGACAAGTCAACAAGCTCTTCAGCTGGGCAGAGGGTGAGACTGTCTTAAAATGTGAAGAGGCTTAAACAGTAAGGAGGGAGCAGAATTTCATGGAGGCTGGAGATGGCCTGCCACAGGAAAAGATGGGTGACAGCTGACGGTGGCCATACAGAAGGTTCTTAGTATTGTCCCTATCTGAAGTCACCTTGCACAGGGAAAAGGTCCAGAACTTGGGTACATGGGGGAGGGGTGACAGTCCAAACAGGTTTTCTTTTTCTCTCTCAGAAAACACAAGACAAGAACACTTAAATTCAAATCAACACTTAACAGCTTTACAATATTTGTAAATAACAATTGGGACTTAATGCCACAAAGTACAATATTACAAACAGCTTTATGGGGATAAAAGTCAGGCCAGTCTGCAGGCCAGGAGTCCAGGGAATTCATCGGAGCCATCTGGTCCTGGCTGTGCTGGAGATGAGATGCACAGAGTTGGAGGGGTTTCGGGAAAGACTGACATCCAGTGAGTTCATAAGGTCCTTCCAGTCAAAAGCCCCACAGCACAAGAATGCTGTACATAAACCTTAAATGCTTATTTTCTTGTGCTAAAGACATGTCCAAGATATGTGGGTAGTATCTAATTCACAGTTTCGGAAGTAGCAGGGGCACACAGCATTTCCACTCGGGGTCAAGTCTCTGTCTTGAGGCGGGCAGCCTGGATAGTTTTTATAGTTTTTACTGTGTGTTTGCCAGCCAGATTGATTGTAGATAACTGAGGTTTTTCTTCAATCAAGCTGTCTTTAGACCCATTTCTTCTCTAGAAAGAGATTTGATACCAGAAGAAAACAATCAGCTTGAGTACTTTTAGAAATACACCAGAAGCTGGGCATAGAGGGGCACACTTGTATGATCCCAGGAAGAGTAATCCAGTAGCAACATAGTGTGGTCACCTAAAATTCATTGATAACATTGCAAGTTGTAATAATGCAAAGAAAGTTCCCTCTAGTTAACTGCAAAAGCAAATGTGTTTAATCCTGGTCTGACAATTGGGTACACAGCAGTTTTATTCATTACTTAAAAGACTTCCTTAACTAGGCTTTCTTTTATGAGCAAGGCCAGAGGAGCCCAAAAGCCTATGAGACAGTTACTGTACAGTGTGGTGGCTTAGAGTTAGTTCCCTATCATCGGGAACTGAGTGTCACTGTCTAGGCTGAGGAGCCTTGGAGGTTTGCATTATCAAGAGAGCTTAATTGACCTACCTGAGCATGGACACCATACCCAGGACGTCTGGAGTCGGAACTTGTACACAACCCGTAATGTCAGATGAAAACCCAAGGATGCCACCAACAATGCCTCACAACCGCTCTCTGCCCGTGCCCTCCAGGGATGCCTGAGTTTGTTAGGACTTCCCTTCCAACCACATGTATAAACGTTTCCAGGATGGCCTGCCCTTCGCTGTGGAGGACAGCTACAACAGGACCTAAGTACTTGTGTCTGCCATTCCTTTAACAGAACAGCTGTGCCCGCCATTTCTCCAGCTTGGAAAAAAACAATACCTTAAAGCACTCTTTGAAGTCAGTGAAGCAATTATTTTTATGGTAGCTCCACGTGATCTTAGTCTTACCCTTAGCACCTCCCCGCAACCTCTAATCTTGGGATCTTGCACTGCTTCTTTTAATTCCTAGCAGCTCTTTTGGAGTCTGTGCCCCTGGTTTTTGATCACTTCCTTCTGCTCGCAGATTTTGTATGTGGTTTTTTGATAAAAAGAATGTAAGAATGGAGTTAAAGGCTCATTGCTCAGTGTATCCAAAGGAATTCCTGGAAGCACAGGATGTTTCTCAGATTTCTCACAGTTGCTCGCCCCTGGGCACACCTCTGACCCTGGCACTTGGGAGGCAAAGGCAGGCAGATTCTGTGAGTTCGAGGACGGAGAGGGATACAAAGTGAGACCCTGCCTCACAAAGAAAATGAAGTTAAACGATGTTATCTGTTGGGCTGGCAGGATGGCTCAGTGGGTAAAAGCCATTGCAGTTCAGTCGTCAATACCTGAGTTCAAACCCCAGGACCCATGTGAAACAGTCCACAAAGCAGCTCCCTGACCACACAGACATGCCCATACACATCACGCACAATAAATACATTTTTTTTTAACAGTCATCAGTGGGATACCTTAAAATCTTACTAACCTGATGAACTGTGGAGCCACCAGACCCCTGAGCGTCTGAGGAACGGGTCACTGGAAGTGGTGGTACAAGATCCGTTTTTGAGCTGCCAAAGAGAAAGTGTCAGAATCTGTGAACTGGACGGACGTCAGATCTTAAGCTCTGCATGCTGTCGTGTGGAGCCGTGAGGCTGATGTGTCCTCAGGCCTGACCACTTCCTTCACTTCCGGCCACTTACTTCACTTCCGAGAGAACAGAGCGCTCTCCGTCCGAACACTGGGATCTGCGGTACTGCCTGTAACTCCTCGGAGAATGCGAGTGCCTGATGCGGACGGGATCGCCCTGAGTCCTGAGAGGACACCAACAAAGCAAGGAAATACTCAGAAGTCAAGGCAGGATGGTGTGCAAATCTTCCTGAATACTAAACTATAAAAATGGAACTTAAAAGCTGCCTCTAATTATTCTCGGTTTTATTTTGTAGGTGGATTTTGTTTGATAGCAGGTCTCACCATGTCCAGGCTGGTGTCAGACTGGAACTGATTATAAAGCTGAAGGTGATTTAGACTCGTGACCCTCCCTGCTCCATACCCCCTGTGCTGGATTATAAGCATGTACCTCCACACCTAGCTCAGACTTTGTTTTGGATTTTTTTTTTTAAGAACTTGACTTTTCTGGGCTGTGAAAGCAACAGTGATTTAAATCTCATAGCATTTTACAAAAGAAAAATGCTCTCCTGCTTACGCTGCAAATGGAGCTGTTGTATGTGTGTGTAAGTGTGCCTGTGTGTGTGTGTGTGTGTGTGTGTGTGTGTGTGTGTGTGTGTATTTAACCACAATTTTTGTTGCTGGTGTTTGGAGGCAGGGTCCTGGCCTGGACCGTGTAGACAGAAGCCTAGAATGTGGGTGCCCCTCCTGCCTCTGCTTCAGACTCTGATATTACAAGTATGCTCTGCCTAGCCCGGCTTAACCACTAAAATTTAAACACTTCTGAGAATTCCCTTGAATTTTCTCCAGGAATATGAAAGAGAAACTTTACAGTGAGAACAGAAGAGCTTCAACTTCCTGTAAGAAAAGGTTGGTTCTAGCTGATTCAGTCTTCACGGGGGACTTGCTGAGTTCTTAAATGTTCGCAGCACACACACAACAATGAGGTGGTAGACCTAAGCTTTCCTGACATCATGATTTCACAGTGTAAACACATATTAAAATATCACATATGCCATAAATCTCTTAATCTGTGCATTTACTTAAAAAACAAAACAAAAACAAAAATTCAATTTTTGACCTAAAAATCATGGTAAGAGAGCTGGCAAGCTTGGCCTAAGTTTGGGTTCCAGAGACCGGCATGATGGGAGGAGAGAACTGATTCCCACAAGTTGCTGATTTATATATCATGACACACACATCAGTAAATAAGTAGCTGAAAAAATGTAAAAGATCATGAGAAGAGGTTGGACAGTGGGAAGAGGCTGGAGTTTTCCTGGATGGGAGAAAGTGGGTTGTAGAGGGAAATAAAGCAGTGAGTGTGCTCCTTCCATAGTCCTGAAGAGAATCCAAGTGAACTCTCAGAAGTATTTAAACTTTAGTGGTTAAGCCGGGCAGAGCACACCTGTAATCTCAAAGTCTGGGAGGAGGCAGGAGGGTGGGGCACTCCAGTTCTAGACTGCCCTCCCCCCTCTCATCCACACAGTCCAGGACAGTTTTCCTTGACTCATTACAAGGCAGAAAAACAGCCAATATGTGCTCAGCAGCCTGGGCTGGAGCCCGGAGACTCCTACTAAGTGTTCACAAAGGCTGTTCAGGTCAATTCGGTTCTATGATGGGGACTCATCTGGGCTCACAGGACCGGGTTTTGTGGTAAATATAATTCTCCTAATGTTAAAATATTCAATAAAGCTGACTTGTTATCAATGAATATCTCAGCAAAAAAATTCTTTAGAATGGACATCATCATTCATCATTTTAACTTCTCACTCACAAACAAGCAGGAGAGTCATGGAGTACAGAACAAGAGCGGGTTTATGGGTGTCATTTGTTTGAGACAGGGTCTCTCACTCTAGCCCAGATCGGCCTGAACTCACTAGAGACCAAGCTGGCATTGAACTTGAGTCAATCCTCCTGCCTCTACCTCTCAAGTTCAAAGATCAGAAACCTGAGCCACCACACAGAGAGGATAGTTACAGCTACCTTTTCTACCTCTTCCCTTAATCTTTAACTAAGGTACAGACTGAAACACTGCATGGAACACAGAGTAAGAACGCACTGTTCGCTTCTGTGGTAGGTTGAATGGGAACGGCCGCCACGGGCTCAGGTTTGAGTGCTTAGTGCCCAGCTGGAACTGCTGGGGAGGACGAGGAGGTGTGGCCTTACTGGAGCGGGGTCTCCAGGGTGGGCTTGGGGTTTCAGTGACTGGAGTCATCCCCACTGTGCTCTCTCTGCTTCCTATTGAGAGTCAGGACGAGCTGTCGGCTGTTCCTGCCACCTCTGCCCTGCCGTCCCGGACTCTAAGCTGGATCCTAACCCTCTGAACTGTCGGCCAAATTAAGCACTTTCTTATATAACTTTCCTTGGTCGTGGTGTTTTGTCACAGCAAATAAAACCGTCACACTAATAAAACTGCAAAGACTTCCAGAGGGACACACTCACTCTACTTTAGTGTACGGGATCTCTTTCAGCTGCTCTTCTGACAATCCAGATGGGTCCACAAGTTCCTTCCTACGAGAGAGTAAGCAATGAGGTCACAGCGTCACGCCTGCATACATCCTAATACCTCCTCCAATTGACGAGCTTCCCCTTTCTGCCCTAGTCTCAAAACGTGGAGTTAGTGAAAGTAGTACTCATGTATGACGTGCACAAAGCTGAGAAAACTAGAATGCGTTCAAGGAAAAAAGGGAGGACCTCTTTCCCTCCTTTCTAAAATCACACCCCTCAGGGCCCCCATTTCCCCATGGCTACTAAGCTTCTCTCCCTGAGGCAGTGTCCTTTTCTATATGGATTTGCTTCTTTGTACTCCTTGTAAATGACTGGCCTAGCTGAGGTGCATTCACAGGCAAACTAGTGACCCTGGAGAGGAGGAATGGGTGCACCCCGTGGACAGCTGCTGGTGTCTGGCCCCTGACACCACTGTAAGCATCAGACAACACAGAGTCGGGAGCACAGGGACCTGCTGGGGTGTCCAATAGAGGCAGGCTCCTTGGAGTGGCACTGGCTTTTCTTACAACTGATTTAAAGCTGCACATGTCATGCTGGACATATGGCTCAGCAATTAAGAGCACTGGCTGCTCTTGCAGAAGACCCAAGTTCAGCACCCAGCACCCACATGGCACCTCACATCCATAACTCCAGCTCTAGGGAATCCAGGACCACCAGGTACGCACGTGGTGCATATAAATACATGCAAACAAAACACTCGTGTGTGTGTGTGTGTGTGTGTGTGTGTGTGTGTGTGTGTGTGTGTGTGTATGTATGGGGTGTGTGTGTGTATGTATGGGGTGTGTGTGTGTATGTATGGGGTGTGTGTGTGTGTGTGTGTGTGTGTGTGTGTATGTGTGTGTGTGTGTGTGTGTGTGTGTGTGTGTGTGTGTGTAATGCATACACAGATATTCTAACCCTGGACACATGGGGGAGACCCACTACTTACTGGATATGTTTCCACAGCTCCTCTTTCGCTTGGATATCGGGACTTCTTCTGTAAATAAACGAAACAAAATTCACCTCTGCAACATGTGGCCTCCACAAACCCTCAGAGTTGCCTGAATAGTTCTGTGAGGTCTTACTCGCCGTCTGGCTGCTGACAGGACTCATGAGCAGCCAGAGCCATCACAATGACTGGTGAAAAGACGGCGGGTAATTTATTGGCCAGCGTCACTGAAAAACTCACATAAATGTACATAAATAAAAGTGAGACATCACCAGAGCTTCGTGTATGAAAGAGCCTAGAAGCCAGGTCTGGTGGCACAGTAACCTCAGTACTTCAGAGGCAGAGGCAGGGGGCTCGCCACAGGTGTGACCACCCAGGGTCACATAGCAAGCTCCTACACATCGCAAGAAAAAAAAAAAAAAAAAGAGGAAGAAAGGACAGAGCTTAGAACTTTGGGGACATGTGTGCAAACCCCAATTGTTGTGACTGAACAATGGACAATGATCCAGGGGCTCTGGTTCCTGACCTTACTGTCTACTTTTTATTACATTTATTTATGTGTGCACATGTGTGCGCCACGGTGCACTCAGGGCAGTGGGCAGGAGTTGGCTCTCTCTGCTCTCACCATACTGGTCCCAAGGTTAGGTCCTCAGGCTAGGCAGCAGGCAGCCCTAACCTGAGAGTCTTTTCTCCAGCCACCCACTGGCTATTTTCGAGCATAAAAGAACTCATTTCTATCAGCCATTGTGAAGGCTCTCAACATGACCTCTGATGACCTAGTACAAGCAACAGCCATGAGGAAAAGGCAAGAGGTCATGTGACATCTCAAGCAGCAGTTCTGCACCAAACTTAGGCCACATGGGACAAAACCTCTCTGTGGCCTCCGTTCCAAGACCTCCCGGGATAGAAATTAGATCATTATGTTTAAAGTCCTAAAAAAAGAAAGCTGAAGTTACTATTTGTGCTCATCCTCTCCATCGGGTTAACTGTTAACCCCCATTATAGCAAGGAATAGTAAAATTATTTCAGTTGTTGCACAGAATGGGACTCTCTTCAGTCCCCTCTGGAGGAAAGAGATCTATTAAGAGGCCCAAAGGAAAGTCCTAAACCCTAACAACGAACAAGGCCAAGAGTGGAGCCACTGACAAAGCCCACCCTGTGGCGTTTTACCCCGAGGCTCAGTATCGCTTCCAGCACACAATCTCACCAAGGCTTTCATTTTTCTCTCATGCGTTCTGGCAGGGCCTGCCGAATCCACAGAATACAATAAGCTACTGACTTAGCTACAGAATTTACTACGGTTTCTCCTTTGCATGTGTGGATTGGGTGGGGAAACAAAAATCTGCTCTTTCAGTCCAATCCAAAGGAGTGAAACGTGGTAAGGGGCAGGGGACAAAGTCTTGGTGTCTGACCAAGAAGGATGTTGGCCACAGATTTTGTTATATAAAACCGTATGCTTAAAAAAAAATCATACAAATGGTTCTGAAAGGTCTCTTGAACAAACCTGCCTCTCCTACACTTGGCCCATCTGATCCCCTGGGGTCGTCTGTTAAATGATACCAAGAAGGTGCAAATATTTCAGAGTCCTAAGCTCTTCTTCCACCCCAGCATGCTGGGTCAGCATGCGGATCTCACTGGAGGCCACTCAACAGTCTACCATACGATGTGTAGGCCAAGGTGCTCTTCTGCTGATAAGCTGTTCTTTCAGGGAAGTGCAGGAAGGACTAGTTAGCTGTCTTCATGGTACAGGGAGGTTTCGAAACCTCAGCACTGCTAATATTTGAGCAGTATCTGCTGCGGGATGGTCTTTCTGAATGCTGTGAATATGTGTTGCTACCACTGGTTAATAAAGAAGCTGCTCTGGCTGGGCAGTGATGGTGCACACCTTTAATCCCAGCACTCAGGAGGCAGAGCCAGGCAGATCTCTGTGAGTTCGAGGCTAGCCTGGTTTACAGAGCGAGTTCCAGGACAAGCACCAAAACTACATAGAGAAACCCTGTCTCAAATAAAATAAAATAAAATAAAAACAGGGAGGAGGAGGAAGAGGAAGAGGAGGAAGAGGAAGAGGAAGAGGAAGAGGAAGAGGAAGAAGAAGAAGAAGAAGAAGAAGAAGAAGAAGAAGAAGAAGAAGAAGAAGAAGCAGTAGCAGCAGCTTATAGATGGGCAGGAAGTCCAAGAGAGACACAAGAAAAAGGAAGGTGGAGTCAGGGAGACGCCAGCCTGCTGCCCAAGGAGCAACATGTCAGCAGACTGGTAATGCCACGTGGCAAAACAGATTAATAGAAATGGGTTAATTTAAGACGAAAGAGCTAGGGTAGTAAGAAGCCTGAGCCATAGACCAAACAGTTTGTAATTAATATAAGCCTCTGTGTATTTACTTGAGACCGAACGGCAGCAGGACCAGGCAGGACAGGAAAAATTCCAGCTACAAATAACTTTGGGAGCTTCCCCGTGCTTTGTAAGATCAGGTCAGTGACACCCACAACATCTACCCACTAGAAGCCAGTAGCCTCCCTAGTGTTAACAACAGAAATGACTCTGGGGAGCCCAGGAGAAGGCTCAGAAGGGTAAAGAGCTTGCCACCAAGCCTGATGACCTGAGTTTGAGCCCTGGGACTTACATGGTGGAAACTCCCAAAAGGCTGTTCTCCGGCCTCCACGCACATGATCTGGCACATAATTCCCACCCCGCCCCCTAACACACACAAATAAATAAATGTAATTAAAACTGTTAAATGACTATAGACATTGCCGAGTGTCCCGGGAAGAAGCAAAGAACAGACTGAGAACAAGTCTGAAAGTAGCTAAAGTTGAGTGGCAGAAGTGATTGGATACATTATTGTAAAGATCCAGTGTGGGGCTATAGAAACAACGCTGACAGCAGGCAGAGGTTAGATATTAAAAACAAGGTGGGTGGGACCTGTGTCACAGTTGATGACGGTGACCAGAGAGTAAAGAGTGGTGTGATCTGAAAGCATGAGGTTCCAAGCTTAATGCTTTTACAAAAGATGAGGAGAAAGAAAAACCATGTGCAAGGAACATACAGTCCATGACCACCCTGCCAAACAGGAACCATTATTTGAAAAGGTGTATGTGCGCATGCGTGCGTGCGTGCGTGCGCATGCAATGACTCAGCAGGTAAAAGCACCTGCTGGGGTCCCATGTTCCATCCCCAGGACCCAAGATAGAAGGGACAAACCAACTCTTATAGGTTGACCCCTGACTCCTACACGATCACCATGGCATGCACGTTCCAATACATGTAAATATACGCACATGCACTCAAAAGAAATGCAACGTAATTTAAACGCACACATCCACACAGCTAACAACCTGGTAAAAGGGTAAGCATATTGCCCCATGATAAAGCAATAGCCAAACACATGCACCTCCTGCATCAGACCTCCATCCAGTGCTGCATGCCCAGACACACCAAGAAAGAACAAAGGCCCGACCAACCACAGCGGGTATTCTCCTGATTGCTGGAGCTTCGGGTAATGTTAGCTTCTTATTTCTGCCTTTGTGTCTGTACTTTTTAACCAGAAGACTTCTTTAGCGTATGACGGGGGAGGGGGAGTGAAAGGGGAGTGGGGGGAGGCATTTAAGAACTTTTTCATGTGTAAATAAGTCTTGTGATTCCTATTCAAGATGCCAATCATTCTGTCTCCAAAAACTAGGCAGGAAAGCTGCCTCGGCCTGGACGGGCAGTCCCTCTACGCCACAAATTCTGGACCTAAGAGGTTCTGGCATTTAGTCTGTGCCTTTATGTCCTATGGCCCTAAAAGGGCAGTATTCTGAGGAAACTGGGTTCTAAAATGTCCACTATCTTTAAAGAGCTCAGGACATTGGGGAAATTCTAAAGCTGGGGGGGGAAATGCCAATTTCCTCTGACTGCTAGACCACCTGTGATATACAAATACCAGCCACTGAAATGGTGGGTGTGTGACTTTATGTTGGTATCTGCACATATAATTTTTATATTGTCTACAGTTCAATACAGTTTTGTGGGTTTAGAAAACAGTGAAATTTTAATAGCCGTTTGTCTATAGCTCAATGGGGAGAGCTGCTTATTGTGGGCAATGCCTTGGGCTCAATACCAGCACACGTAAGACAGGCGTGGCAGCACATGCCTGTAAACTGAGCACTCAGCAGATGGCTGAGGAGAGCAAGTCCATCCTCAGCTACATGTTGAGTTCCAGGCCAGCCTGGGCTACATGAGACTTTGTCTTAAAATAAACAAACAAACTTATGCAGACACTCTGTCTAAACTCTTCAAAGAAGTCCCTCAGTTGTCCATAGATACAAAATATGCCAAATATAAACATGCTACCAGTATTTTTCAAAAGCATCTCTGCCTACACGTCTGCAATGATTCAACTTCAAATCAATCAGAGAAGTAAGTCTGTACAGATTAGCTTGTAATCCGAGCACTTGGGCAGCTAGGGGGGAGAATCAAAACCACAAGGCCAGTCTGTGCTACGTAGTCTCAAAATAACTATGTAATAATATATACTATACAATATTTACTTCAAATAACAAACATGGTATATTATTTTGTCATCTTTAAGCTAACTGCATCTCTAAAAGAGAATTTAAAGTTGGAAAATATGTAAATATAAGAATTCTATTTACTTAGAGACTTCAAAGCACCTAACCAATTCTTACTTAGTTCTTCTTCTGATATCCCTTAATGGTCAGAAAAAGTGAAATTAGGGAACACCTTATTTCTCCTTCCTCCCTTCCCGTCCTAATTAGGAACATGAAGTCCAGTAGCCCAGCTGTGGAAGTCTGCACAGGAGCATCCAGGAACTTCACTGAATATTCACCTAAGCTGGATTTTGTCTTTTTATTGAGCCCATCACTTCCTAGGCAGCCTTACATGATCAATAGTCTTCAGTCAGTAAAACTAGTTCCACAAGGGGGCCACCAGGGGGCGGTGGAGCCCACTCACACGCACACAGACTATTGTTTGAGGGCCCAGGGCAGGGCCTCTCCCACACAACCCAAGGAGTCAGGTTTACTCACGTGGAAAGCAGTTTCAAGGAGACGGAAGCCGGCCCTATTTTATGTATATATCACAGCATCAAACACAAAAGCCACAGAAATGGAACTGAAAAATACACTAGGTAATACTGCGCTTCATAACGTTTAATAGATAAGACCCAGTCATTTTCAGTTTAATGCTTGTTTGGGGGATGACGGGGGTGGGGGGGCCTCGGGGGACACACACACACACACACACACACACACTAATAATAATAATTAATAAGTAAAAAATGTAAAAAGGGAAATGGAGTTCATAATACAAAACTTCCCACAAAGAAAATTCTAGGCAGACAGTCTTAAAGCAAGTGAGCATCAGAGATAGTTTAGCTACCCAGGACTCCACTTGGTTTATGCTCTGCATATCTCATAGCTCCTTCTTCTAATAACACCTTTGGCAGCCTGACACCCATAACTACATGTACTACACACACACACACACACACACCTCTCAACAATGCACCCAACAAGCTGTTCGTACCCTGAGACTCCTACCTGCATCAGGCTACATACACACCCAACTCTCAACAATGAAATAACTTTCTCATTCCTTTACCCCTTAAAGCCATTAAACTCAGATTCCGCTCATTCATACTATAGTTACGTCCGAGTGTGTGAGTACATGGCCAATTCAACTTGAACTAGTTTGTGATGCATGCACAACAAGGCACACTTAGTCCTCTCGGTGAACTTGTAGGGAAACCTTCCACTTTCTATCGTGTGCCTATGTGTTACTGGATGTACACATGAGTAAAATCAGATGCATCATGGGAAAGGGCTGTGTGCAAGGAGCAAAGGTCTACTAATCCAAATCTTCCAATCAAAACAGAGAACCTACACAGAACACACCCCTGTAACCAAACTCCTCCTTCCTTTAGACAGCGTGTACAAAGACGCCCCAGACCCTTGAGTACCTTGAACATTCTCACATGTGCGGCCTGCTGTCACTCTAGACTGTATATCTGGCCTGCCCTGTCACTTGGCTCAGAATAAAGTTACCATGCTACTTTGCCAATCTGTGCAGGTCTTTATTGCAAGTCTTTGAATAAGAAAGAGGTCGAGAACATGTAAACATTCAGCCCAGGCCCCAGGAGGGCAACAATTTCAATGAAGTATTATACAAAATATTTAAAGAAGAAATAATGCTGATTTCATATTAACTCCAAAAACAAAGAGGAACATATCCCAAATTATAACCTAACTTTGTTATTCCCAAATTATAATGTAACTTTTTATTTAAAAAAAAAAAAACAGAAAATCAGAGTGCCACATTAAAAAGAGAAGAAAATAAAACTGGACATGATAGTATCTGCCTGTAATCCTTACTTTTGGGAGATATAGAGGCAGAAAGCTCAGAAATTCAAGGCCCTAGGCAGGATGTAAAGGTGTATACCTTTGACCCCAGAACTCAGAAGGTTTCAGAAACAGGTGGATCTCTGTGAATTCCAGGCCAGTCTGGGTTCTAGAGCAAGACCCATGCCAGGTCAGCTAGGGTTACACAGTGAAACCATCTTAAAAGAAAAGAAAAAGAAAGAAAGGAGACAAGAAGGCAGGCAGGAATGAGTGAGTGTAGGGCCAAAGGCCAGCTTGAAGGTCAAAGGGACTACTTGAAATCCTTTCTCAACAACAACCAGAAAGTTCTATACTAGGTATAAGGACACATGCCTTTAATCCCAACCCCTGGGAATCAAAGGCAGGCAGAGCTCTGAGTTGCAAGCCAGCTAAGCCTATATAGCAAGTTCTGGGCCAGTCAGGGCTACACAGTAAGACCCTGTTTTGTATTGCTTTAGATGTATTTACTTTAATGTGTACGTTTTACCCATATAGATGTCTGTGCACCACCTGTATGTCTGATGTCAAAGGGGGTCAGAAGAAGATGTTGGGTCTCTTGAACTGGAGTTACAGATGATTGTGAACTACCATGTGGATGCTGGGAACATAATCTAAGTCTTCTGCAAGAACAATACGTGCTTTTAACCACTAAGCCATCTCTCCAGCCCCATGAGACCCCATCTTTAAAAAAAAAAAAAAGTTCTAATCCAAAGCTAAGTATCTATGATTGAGGAGTATCCCTTCAAATATAAGGCACGTGGGATCTATGCTGTAGCCTCCAGGGTCCTCTCCTGGCCTGTCAACTGCATCCTCATCTTTCTTCTGGCTGTTCCGTCAGCTTCCCACATCCATCCTCTCCCTGTTCAGACACTAATCTCCCAGGAGTTGGGACACCACACCATTACAGGTGACCACCAGGATCAAGAAAGGCTTTGCAGTTAGTCCCAGCTTACTTGAAACAGGCATGTTTGGCAAGTGGAGCAGGCATGGGTGGCCTAACTCTTGATGTATAGACTCTCTCTCTCACTCACACACACACACACACACACACACACACACACACACACACACACACACACACACGAGCATGTAGGTACACCACTTTATCAGCTCACAGGAAATTGATCTGGGGGGACAGGCAACTCACCATGATGGGGTAATTGTGCTCACACATGTCATTGCCTAGCAACAGGAGGGACAGGCAAATCTCAACATTGGGGGTGTAATGAATCATTCAATGACTACTGCTCACAAATGGTAATTTAACAGGAAGATAGTAACGTCGGGTTCAATTTAGAACAAGACTTTCGAGAATTCTGTGGACACAAACTGGGCGAAGCAGCAGGTGTTTCTCCAACAGCCAGGCTCCAGAACAAAGGAGGCTCTCTAGTCATCTGCTTGGATGTGTGCATTTGTTGAAAAACAACACATAAATGAAAAATATGGGGTTTGATGCCCTTGTTCCCATGACATTTTGTTCTGCCTGTGTTCCAACTTCTAAGCCTTCAAAAATGGTTCATGAATGTAAGAAGGAAAAACAATAAATAACAAGGCTGTTCCCAGCTGAACTGAAGCCTCGTGAGGGAGCAGACCTGAGCCTCTCTCCACCTGCTCGGTCAAGCTCCTGGATTTTGAATAAAGTGGAAAAAGAACCCACATACGAGCGAGATCTGTGTCTGGATCGCCTGTTGTTAGGATCCGCTTGGTTTTTTTCCTTCTGTCTCCTTAATACAGCTTCCCACTGAGGCGCTGAGTCAACCATGTCATTCTCCTGCCGTATTCTGAAAAGACAAAGCAGGCATCTGGAGTCCACATCCATGCCGGACACGGCGAAACTCACCTGGGATCCCAGCACTCAGCAGGCTGAGGTGGGGAAATGAGGACTCTGAGCCACCCTGGGCAGCATACAGAGACCCTGTCTCAGGGACAATGAAGAAATGTAGTTAACATCCACACATGAATGAAAATGAAAACATAACATAACAAAATCTACGCGACACCGTGAAGGCAGTCCTAACTTCTCACTCACGTGACCCTCGCTTTTCAGATAAGGGAACAGCAATCTGATTACATCATAAAAGCTGAGAATAAAAAACCAGATTAATATACCCTTAAGTAGGTGTATCTACCTGTAAATTATACACATTAGTATACAATGTTCATATTAAGTCTATAAAAATAACTTATTTTAAAGTATGTCCTTATGATTTTCTGTAGATCCTCACTCAGTCTGTTGTAAAATTTCTCTTTTCATCAATTTTATTGATCCGAGTCTTCTTTCCCCATCTTTTGGTTAATTTGGATGAAGGATTTGGCAATCTCGTTAATATTTTCATAGAACCAGCTCTTCTTTCACTGATTCTGTAGTCTTTATCCCTTCTAGTTCATTCATTTCAGCCCCAACTTCGATTCTCTCTTCCTGTTTACTACTTTGGGATGTCCTGTTACTGTTTTCCTAAAGCTTTCAAGTGTACCATGAAGTTATTAACTTGAGCTTTTTCGGGTTTTGTTTGTGTAGGTAGGTAGAGCCATAAACACTCTTCTTGGGACTGCCTTCACTGTGTCGCACAGACGTGGGTATGTTGTGTTTCCATTTCCATTCAATGCTAGGAATTTTTAATGTCCGTCCTGATTTCTTCTTTAACTCACTGATCATTTAGTGGTGTGTTATGTTCTCCACGAGTTTGTGTACTTTTGAAGTTTCTGTTGGGGGTGATACCCAGCATTCTTCCACTGTGGTAAGAAGGATGCAGGATGTTAGTTAGCTTTTCCCAGATTTGTTAAGACTTTCTCTGCCCACTCTACGTGGAGGTGTTGGAGGAAGTCCCATGAGTGTGGAGAAAACTGTGTATTCTTTAGTGTTTGGGTGAAATGTTCTATAGCTCTTGGGTCCATCTGATTTATGATGTCATTTAACTCCAATCTTTCTCTGTTTAATTTCTGACCAGGTGACCTGTGTATTGGTGAGAATGGGGTGCTGAAGTCACCTACAATCACCTGTTGGGCTTAATCTGTGGTTTTAGATCTAGTTTTACAACGGTGGGTATGCCCACGTTTGTTGTGTATACGTTTACATTGCAACTATCCTTTTGGTGGATTGTTCCATTGGTGAACATGAAGTGACCTTCCTTATTTCTTCTATTAGTTATGGTTTGAGGTCTACTTTGTCAGATATTAGCCCATCTAATATCTGACATTTCTGTTGATTTTGTGGTATTGTGTTAGGCCTCTTTTGATTACATGTACGGGCACTGTTTGTTTATTTCCCATGAACTCATGTGGTTGAATCACTGAGCAGACCTTTGGGGTGAGAAGGAGTGGACCTAGCTGGTAGTGTAACAGAAGGAAATGGCAGGGGAACCACACAGGCCTATGGGATGGGAAGGAGCCTAGTCATGGTAGTTTACACAGCTTGAAGAACACTGTTCTCAACTTGAACATCTTCTCGTTGCAGAGCAAATTTGAAATGAACACACATGCTGTGAACATTAGCATTAGAAATATGAGAAAGCATACAACCTGAGGTCACCAACCATCCTTTGAAACTAGCACTTCCATGTAACAGCATCATATGGGAACATGTGCTCACTCACGTACATGTGGGCACATGTGTATCTGAACCTATACCTACAAGCCTTCCACATCAAACAGGACAGAAACCCACCAGGCTTTCTGGAAGTCCTGAGACACTCTCAGGACTGAGGGATCACGGCTCAGTAGATGCTGTCAAAGGGAAAGGATCAGGTCAATAGCAGATCTCCCTCCCTTAGGCGCTCACACCTTGATCTCTGGGGTTAGGATTAGATGTAAAATTCTGGATGGAATCACTGTACAGTTCATGGGCAAGCTTAAATATCACTACACATTTTGCTATCAGGAAGTCAGGACCTTCATTATCTCGAGTCCAATTCTCCTAGCAAGGCTGGGATGACTTAGTCCAGCACATACTTTCCTCTAAGTGCAGCCACTTAAAAGGAAGACAAGTGCTGTGTGTATATTCTCATGCACTGGAGAATTCAGAACGTTAGCCATCACACTCAGATGATTTAAAAAAAAAAAAAATACTGACCAGGCATGCTGTGGGATGTTCTGTATGGCAAATGTGTTGCTGATTAGTCAATAAATAAAACACTGATTGGCCATTGGCTAGGCAGGAAGTGTAGGCGGGACAAGGAGGAGAATAAATCTGGGAAGTGGAAGGCTGAGTCAGAGAGACACTGCCAGCCGCCACGATGACAAACAGCATGTGAAGATGCCGGTAAGCCACGAGCCATGTGGCAAGGTATAGATTAAGGGAAATGGATTAATTTAAGCTGTAAGAACAGTTAGCAAGAAGCCTGCCACGGCCATACAGTTTGTAACCAATGTAAGTCTCTATGTTTACTTGGTCGGGTCTGAGTGGCTGTGGGACTGGCAGGTGAGAGAGATTTGTCCTGATTGTGGGCCAGGCAGGAAAACTCTAGCTACACAGGCATGGTGGTGCATGCCTTTAATGCCAGAACTCGGAAGGCAGAGGCAGGTGGAGGATTTCTGTGAATTTGAGGCCAGCCTGGTCCAAATAGCAAATTCTAAGCCAGCCACATACACACTAAGAAAAACAAATCCTGGAAACACACATGTGGATTTCCTTTACTTTGTCAGTAAAAAGGACTAAATCAAAATGAATTTCAGATTATACCATGTACTTTTGTTTTTCAAACTGCAAAGTCTCACGTAAGGCCAGTGAAATCTTACGCCTTCATAGCCTCATGGCCCAGGTGCTCTGAAGACAGATGCTCTCTACAGGTGATGCTGTTTCATAAATATTCTAACAGATACATTAAAAATGCAAGGCTCATTGCGGAGTCACAGGACAAGCAGTCTCCTGAGCAATGCCGGTGTGGACACCCAAGTCCAGCTCGTAATGAAGTTTGAAATTACATGCTTACAAAAGGCCTCTGCTTAATGATGCCTCATTACAAGAATCAAAGTGTCATTTCTTCCATTACTGAACTGTTCCAGAAGACACGGGTGTAATCTGAGAACAGTAAAACCCTAGCACTTAGAAGCAAGGATACTTCAGCACTCAGTCCTTAAAGGCAGAAGTTACCTATTCCTCTTTTAAAAAATCATTAGCAAATAAAGGAAATATTTATGTGAAAAAACATATCTCCTATAATGATTTTTTTTTCTTTTGAGAGGGTTTCATCATGTAGCGTGCACTCCTGATCCTCCTGGCTTGATCTCCCAAATGCTGAGAACATAGGTATGCACCGCCTCCAGGCATGATTCTGAGGTCTTGTTTATTCATAGGTGTGGAATATGCAAGTGGTTTTTGCTACCTTCCATTAATTTTGATGTAAGGATTTACATAATCAGGAATAAAAATATTAATAGAATATTAATAGAAATATTAAAAGCCCTGAACTGACACACAATTTTTTTAAAAAATCACAATCAGGAAATTATCAAAGGAGGAAGGGGTCCATCATCATTTATAGTGCAGATCTAGTCATCTCAAATGCTACAAAAGATGAACCTCAAAACCCAACACCTTTCCTGCCTGAATCTCAGTCTTAAATCTATATTCGGCACACCTTGTCTATTTCTCCACCTGAGAGTTAGGATATGTGTGGGAAACATATCCTAACAAGGCCTTTGTTTTAAATTAATGTATGGGGGGGGGGGGCTGAGTGGTGGTAGTACACTCTCTCAATCCCAGCGCTTGAGAGGCAGAGGCAGGCGAATCTCTGAGATCCAAGCCAGCCTGGTCTATAGGGTGAGTTCCAAGACAGCCAGAGCTACATAGAGAAACCCTGTCTCAGGGGGAAAAAACATGGGGGGGGGGGGGTAGGAGGGGGAGGAGAGTAAACAGGGAAAAGGGGGAGATGGGGGGCATTTCAACACTATTTCAGGGCAGAGGAACTCTCCCCAGGCCCCCACAGCCCACCTTTTCCTAGGTTACCCTCACAGTTGAGATTCTGACTGTATCTGACACTTAATTAAAGTGTGCTAAGGCTGTGAAGATGGAATGCCACATAATCACTTGATAGCAAAGTCAAGATAACAGCAATTCCTATTCTTTCCTTTCTCCTCAATTAGAGCCCTGCCTCTTCCACACAAATCCTCACATTACCAAATGAATTCTTACACAAATCTCCCAGGGCTCTCCTCTGACTCTCCTTTATCAGTTTTGTTCTTAATGGGACCTTCCTTTAGACTGGCTCTTAATTCCCTTCTAATTCATTCAGATGAAGGCCACGTTCAGTGCTGAACCCAAAGTCTTTCGGAGCAAATGCATAAGCCCGCTCTTGAGTTCTGTCTCTTTCCTGCTTGGCCTCTACCCGACTTGGAGACTCTGAGCAAACCGCTTATCTCTTTTGGTCAGGTCTCAATTTGCTCATGCGAAAAACTATTACAAAGATCTTTTCTATCTTTAAAACTCAATGTTTCTCTATTTGTGTTTTATTTCCAAAACCACTAGGACTCTGAGGCAAAGCTCCTCTCTCTCTGCCTGCAGCGTAACATCCTAGACAATTGCTTTGTGTGACCACAACGCTGCTAAAATTAAATCACCAGCTCCCAGCAGCCTGGGAACCGGTGTTCTCATTCAGCTACACTCATTTTTCCCTCACCTGATAGAAAGCAGTCTTCTTTTCTTATTTATGTCAGTGGCTTTGCCTCCCTAGGGAAAATTTGTTCGTCCCAGCGTCTGTTGATGTATTCTCTGAAGGCCAGGAAACAAGAACTCCATTTGCTTTCCCAGCCTCCCCTCGCCATCAATACATTCCTCTTATTTGCT